TGTAAACAAAGCAGCACTGCGCTGAAACACTGCTTTAATATGAACTATACAGAGACGAGATTAAAAGAAAATACCATCTAAACTTTTCTGAAGGCAGTCAGTTTCTCTCAGAAACACATTCATATTCACATATAAACACATTCATATTCACATATAAACCCCCAAATCAATATTGAGGATTTTCTTCCAATAGTTTGTGCATCATGAACATTGGGTTATCTGCCTGCTACAGTATTTTCTCTGTGCGTCCGTCTTCAGCGTCTCTGGCCTGTGTTAACGGGCGTTTACAGTCTTCATATTTTCACATAAATGACATTTTGGAAAACGATTGCATTGCAAGGCAGTTTGTGCAAGTCCAGAACAGAGACGAGTTGCTTGCAATAAGACAAAAAACGGCCGGCTGCCGATCGCGCAAGTTCCAGGGGAAGCTCTTTCGGCCATCCTACACACACGTGACTGACCGCTCGCTCGCACCAACAGGAGGAGGATCGTGTTCCTCTCTACACTGCACTCAACCTGAGGGATTCCTACACTTTCAGTCTTTGAGGAGACATGAAAAACAGCGCATACCGCAGGAACGGTATAACAGAAAATATTAGCGGTTTTGAAACAGTGACATTTTCAAACCGCGGTATACCTTGAAACCGGTAATCTTTTATATTATTATACATTTACTCACTTAGCGTTCACACTGTCGAAGTTCTTTTTACTCAAACCAAAGCTGCCAAATGTAAACACGCCCTAAGAATCCAGCTCAACAATACTAATAACAATTTAAAGCTGCTTATACCAATTATAGCTTTGTCCAACTCCTGAGGGTTTTTTCTGTTTGGGTCACTGAGCTGTTCCAGCACTGCATCCAAGGCCTTCGGATCAGGACCATTCAGGATGAAATGCTCCATGAACCTGAAGAAAAATAACTTTTAGCACTGATATTTCCCATATTATTATGGAGATCAGTTCATACACCATTTCCATGCACATTCTAATATGTGACTCTGGACCACAAAATCAGTCACAAGGGTAATGGGTATATTTGCAGCTACCCCAGCGACTTAAGACTGGTTTTGTGGTCCAGGGTCCCATATGTGATAAGCCACCATTCTATGTTGGAAACCAAAATAAATAGACCTGTTTCTGAGGCAAACTGTGCTAAGTTGTATGTACACATCTCGTGTTGTCAATCATATATTACCAACCTAGCAGCAGCGAGAGTTACTGCCACACATATGTCATTGTTTTGCGTGACACGGGTGGCTTCCTCAACCCTCTCCAACATCTCTGGCTTTCCAGCATAGCATGCTACAATGGGAGCCAGCTTTGCCACTCCATCTATTTGGTTATCAGTTTCACAACCTGAAAAGTGTTACAATAAAGATTTATTTTGTTATGATATATATTAATATAATATATTGCTTTATTATCTCCTTCCAAATGACTTAAAATGTTATAATTACATCTTTGAAAAACATTAAAATGAATTAGTATTTATTAACAATAATGTGGCTACACAAAATATTTAGGAGGATGTTTATCTGACTTAGTTATTCTCAGCAACAGAACTGACAGTACCCGTCTCTGCTTTGCCTGCATCCACATTTTTAATAAAGCTCTTAAGGCTTGCTTGTCTCCAGGGTCCTTCAAGAGGTAGTTGAGGCCTGGGAGCTTGAGAAAAAAAAAAGAAAAAAAGTCATGAATAATTCAGGAAAACTCATATTTGAAACAATACAAACTTCACCATCTGTCTAGGGTCATGAGTCAAAATGACAGACAAACATGCAAATGGTTATAATATACTGTTAAAGAACTATTTAAAAAAAAATGTTGAATGAAATATAACTGAAATAAAATACAAATATAACACAAAAAAACTTTAACTAAACGAAAGTTTGAAATATTCCCTTGTCAACTAACTACTTAAAATTAAAATGAAAACTGAAAAATAAATATATAAAAAAATGAAAGCTTGTATTGTGTGTGTATATATATATATATATATATAACAATTGTTTGTAGTATAAAGGATTACCTGAGTTCTCATAGTGCAGAAAAACAAATACATCAAATATTTCAAGAAGAACTAATAAAAAAGTAAATAAAGATGAAAATTTCCAGGTGCAGTGGATTAAATTTACCTCCTTTGTCTCTGTAAGGATCATTGACTGGTGTGTCATATTCAGATCCAGGTCCAAATAATTTGTAGGTGCGCTGCTTCAAATCTTCCACATTCAGATCTGTTTGAACAAATAAACAAATAACTGAATAATCGACATCCTATTAACCACAACATAGTCAAATAATATGGTGCTATTTACTATATACCACATAGTCAGGTTTTCAAACACACAGTTTCACCCTTTCATATTCTTACATACGCGAATGTATCATGTCTTGTTTTTTTCACCTCTACACTCAGACAGGGACTCCAGGAGGACGAATGCTTGATCTCCATAGCAGCTCTGCTGTCCAGTGTTCCTCCTGTAGAATGGGTTTGCAGACTCAGGCCGGAATTCAGGCTCAGGACTTTGAGAGAGTAACATGCTCAGCTTCTGCAGGTCATAGACCCAATGGAGCGGTTGTGCTGCAGAATGTACAGTATCAACCAAAAATCTGCATTTGTCAACATTTGTTTATAGGGTAATCCTACATTACAGTGTCCATGTTTCTTACCTGCTACTATAATTGATTACTATATTAATGATAAACAGTGTGTGATTACATTGCATCTCCACAAAATAATGTCAGGTTATACATGTGCATGTGATTGTCAATGCTTATGTAAATACACAGTAATGTACTGTAACGCTGTGTGCGATGCCAATTCAATTGTGATATATTACAGATGGTGACTATAAATAAGTGTTGCTATATATAAGGCTTTTTGGTATATTTTGTTACTAGTATTCGCAAGTAATGCAAACCTGCAGCATCGGCAATAGCTGATCCAATGATTGCTCCGATAGCCCTGTCAGCAAGGGCAAGAGCCATCTGTGACAACAAGATAAACAAACCAAGTAAGAGAGAAACTATCGTGCTCATATATAGCTTAGAATGCATGTTGTCGGCAACATGCACAACTGAAACTCATACTTATGGTTAATACAGTTTAAAACGAAAGAGATTCTCACCTTTGAATCTTATATTCTTCAAGCGGAGTCTGAAGTTTACAAGTTACACAATTTAATGCGAAAGCTCTTGTGTTATGAACTGGATTCCCGTGCTGCTGATTGGATGGAATTAAGCACGTGACAGCAGAACGTCACAGTGCACGTGCAATATTGTTTTTTTTAATGATTTTATAATATTAAAAAAAATATATAGACAATATGTAAAAATGAACAAAAATGGAATTAATTTGATATATTTTGCTACAGGCCGCTTCATTAATTTTTTTTATTTTCACTGAAACACACCATGAAATATTACAACTTTTGCTTTCATAAAATTATCTGATTACACAATTTAATGCGAAAGCTCTTGTGTTATGAACTGGATTCCCGTGCTGCTGATTGGATGGAATTAAGCACGTGACAGCAGAACGTCACAGTGCACGTGCAATATTGTTTTTTTTTATGATTTTATAATATTAAAAAAAATATATAGACAATATGTAAAAATGAACAAAAATGGAATTAATTTGATATATTTTGCTACAGGTCGCTTCATTAATTTTTTTTATTTTCACTGAAACACCATGAAATATTACAACTTTTGCTTTCATAAAATTATCTGAAACTTCAAAAAGAAAAAGAAAAACAAATTTTACTGAAACATTCAAGGTCATTAGTGTATATTTAATATAAGATAAAATAATTAAAATATGCACATCTGCATTATTGGAAGAGCATAAGATAACTTTAGCACTGTCTGTGTGCAAGTTATTCGCTCCTAAACTCACTTCTCCGTCACTGTTGAATGATCAGCTCTGGAAAGCCATGTTTAATCCATCTGGAATGCCTCTATTCCCGCCGAAAGGGCTTCTTTCACCTATAAAAAACTAAATCATTGCATTAAACTTATTAAACTATATTATAATTCCGTTGTAGACATTATTAATCCTACGATTGACAAATAATTTATTTACAGTTTTTACAGAGTAATACAAATGCCTTCAAAGTCAGGATGATATTTAGAAGAGGAAGGAGAGATATCTGCAAGAGGTTTAAATTAATAAGACCTATTATAGTTTGCGACAAGAGTCAAAACTAACGGAAAAGGAAGAGCATCTACTATGGTGAAGACTAAGAAAAAAAAAAAAAAAAAAACTATGGCGAAGACTTGGTCCTTATTATTCATGAGATGAACCTTCGCCACTGGATCGACAACGTATCGTCACCTATTAATGAATATTCATAAGCTAAGACTTCGCCATTGGATTACGAGGCAACGCCGCCGCACTCCTCAGTTATTATAAAACCTTTGCCGTACTAGAATTCGTAACTCCGCTGTTGGGGATTTATAGTTCTGGTAGACCACGGATAAACCCAAATTAGTGCGCACGAGTCTCAGTTTTGGCAACTAAGAGCGCACGCTCAAAAAGAAGAAGAAGAAGAAAAGAAAAAATAAACCACGGATGCCAAATATAACGCAAGGTGTGCGCTCTGCTTCGGCTGTTTCTGCACCTTATAGCTTCATTCAACTGTGTCAGATTTATTTCACAGTTGTTTTAATTTTATACGCGCATTATGGAGTATTGGAGGCAGTGCAGCTTGTGGCTGATCAATTGTAAAGTGTTGCCCCGGAGTCATCGGGTCACGGCGGATTCGGCGCAGGTTTTTGATTTGGCCCAAACTCTTCGGGATGGGGTGCTTCTGTGCCAGCTGCTGAACAATCTCAGACCCGACACCATTAACCTGAAAGAGATCAATCTCAGACCACAGATGTCACAGGTGAAGGCAAACAATAGACATTCTGTCATTTTATTATGAACGTATATGAATTTCTGTAAAAACTTTTTATTTTTATAATGTACTGCAGTTGCGGAAACACTAACCTACTGACATACAGTAACTTTCGTCTTCATGGCATATATGAGCAGTATATGAATATCTATTTCAATACATTTATTTTACCAACGTATTATATACAGCATATTTTGACATTTTTGTAAGTTGTAAGTCATTTAAGGCTTTATAGTACTAGCCAGTGCCATAGTACTACAAGTGGCCCCAGTGCCAGTGGCAGTGGCAGAATACACTTCTCTTCACAAAGGGCTCAGTGGTAGATATACACAGCTCTCTTTGTATATGGCATCATTCAGTCAGTCTGCAAAACTCTCAACAAACTGAGTAAACACTGAACTAATGAAACATCAGTTTTTAAATGTACATCGTGTTTTGGTAGGGACCCAAAAGTCATCCAGATGAATGTTCTGCCTGATTCGCTGCTGTGTGTAAGTAAGTGTTTAGGGCTGAGAAGTCTCAGGCAGTTTGCCCAGGCCCAAACAACTCTTCTCAGATGCCCCCGTTTCACTCCAGTGACCTGGTCAAATCCGACTGTGATCTGACTGATTTTTAAACGCACAAATCCACCCTTCTGGATTGACGAGACACAGTCAGTCTCCATCAGACAACGGAAAAGAGCAATTTTCAGCAACACCCCTTGTTGCGTTAGCTGGCATTCCTATCACTTATCTGACTCATATAAATGGTGAATTTTGATTAGTGTGGTTTTTGTGCTTTGGAATTGGTTCATGTTCATTTAAATTCACAATTGTGAAATAATGATGTTAAATTATTTAAATTAAATTCAGTCGTGACAATAGACTTATAGTAGAGGGAAGTTAAAAGCAACCTCTTGTCATTTTCTTTTTTTTTTTAAAGTTGATCTGTTGTGCTCTTTGAATGGTAAAAAAAATGCAGAAGCAGAAATATCGTTGATAGCACCTATTAGGCAATAGAGTCTGTTTGTTATTAGTTGGAAATCTCATTTCCTCATCTACTAAAGGGAAAAGCCTTAATGATTCCACTAATTTGTCTCTCTCAAGGCCACGTTTCCACAGAAGATTCTCATGATATCCTCAAAATGCTTTGTCCTGGCTACACATTTGCATTTTACATTTTGTTTTGTAATCTTTTACATTGTGTTTGCCCAAAAAATGTATATGTACAAGTGGTGTGCAAAAACAAAACCTTTAAAAACGTTAACAGAATCTTTTTTTTTCTTGCTTTATTAGTTCCTCTGCTTGAAGAATATTCGTACATTCTTGTCTGCATGCTGCGAAGCTTTTGGGATGAAGAAGAGTGAATTGTTTGATGCCTTCGATCTCTTTGATGTCCGTGATTTTGGAAAGGTAATGAAAAAAAATTTTTTTTTCAAGATTCTTTTATTGGTAGTTTCAGAAGGAGCATATAGCAAATTATTTTAAAAATGTGTTAATATTTCTTATAATTTTTTACTCCATAACAATAATGTGCACCATGGGCTATAATCATAATTAATTTATAAATTTATAAATAAATAAACATTATAAATGAATGATTAATACATTTTATTTGTTAATATATTACTAAGTTATGATTTTATTTTGAAATTGATTTTGAAATTTGAAATTGATCGTACTATAAGAATTACTTGTGAAATAATGCTGACTGTTAATGAGACTAACTAAAAAAACATTGTTTGCTGAATATGAATATGGGTCAGACAGTATGTATTGATGGGGGATGATACCACAGACCAGAGAAACTGAGAATCTAATCTACAGTTCTGCAGTCTTAATTCTGTAAAATTATGATCTGTATTATTGTATTAACCATGGCCAAAGAATAATAGATTCACTCTGCTTGTGCTCGCAGACACTTGTAAATGCCTGGCTGATGTGGTTGTGGTCTGGCCTCTGAAGGTCACCAGTAATCAATAGCTCATTTATTTCCCCAACCTCTTAATGTACAACCTTGTTCTGAATGTTTGGACTGTCTTTGTCTGGCAGTGTAATATAATAATTCCCTGAGCCACAGGAGTAACCTACTCCAGTAGCTTCCTCCTGGCATTTCTCTTCCTAGCAAGCTCAGTGGCTGAAGGTCTGGCCTCATGTGGGGTTAAACATAAAGCGAAGCGTCCTTTGTGCTGTGAGGGACTGCACTGTTTTCACAGAGGGGTTCAGCCATTGTTTGTCTGCACTCATAGGACACATCTGCAGCCATGCAGAATCATTAGCACAGCCCTCTAGGGCTGAACTATACACTCCTGAAAGAACTGAAGAGCTGTTCAAACACTCCCACTGCACAGTTTTTGAAGGCTTATGGCTGAGGGCATGTGCGCATGTTGTTAATGGTTCTGAGGAGTGTCATTTGTTCAGTATATATCTGGATAACTTGGTGTTTTATGCAGTCATGTGTACAATAAAGTAGTAGTTAATGTTGAAGTTGATCAAAATTATGTATGTCCAACTAAGTAAAAGTACAAAGTTAGCAACTCGACTAATTTAACAACATTTTTCAGTAGCATGAAATTTTGAATGAGGAGGACATTTTATAGAGGACCTTATAGAAGACCCCAGCAGTCCTCCATCACAGATGCCAGGGCAGTTTCTTTGATTTTATTTCTATTTATTGACACTACTTTTCAAAAGTTTTGGGTCAGTATGATGAAAAAAAGAAAAAGAAAAAAACAAGTTAATACTTTTATTCAGCAAGGATGCATTCAATTGATCATATTAAAATATAGTTGTTGTTAATAATATTAATAATAGGAATAACAAGAACAATAATAAACTTTATTGTTATAGTACTTTTTAAAGTTGCACCTCAAAGTACTTTAAAAAAAAGTAAAAATACATTGAAATACAAAAAACAATGCATCAAAAGAAGAAGATGAATTTAAGAAGAATATAAATTAAAATAAAAAACAGTTACAAAGTAATCATATAAAAGCTACTCTGGAAACGTGAGTTTTAAGAGAAGATTTAAAAACACTAAAAGATTCAGCATGTCTAATATCAGTATAATATCATTAATATTATAATATATAATGTATTATATAGAATATTAAAATAGAGTTAATAATAATAAGGTTATGATAAGGTAGTAAGATTGTTAAGCACCAAAACAACATATTAAAATTATTATTTTTTTAAATCACGTGACACTGATGACTAGTAATGGCTGCTGAAAATCCAGCTGTTTCACAGCAATAAACAACATTTTAAAATATATTCAAATAGAAAACAGTTATTTAGTTAAATTAGTATTAATCGTTTACTGTGTTTTTTGCTCAACACATGCAGCCTTGGTGAACATAAAAGATTTTAAGAAACATTTAAAAATCCATCTTGCCTATACATACAGATAACTTACAAATAATAATAAAACAACTTTTAAGTGATTTTTAAGTAAGTTTTAGATACTGCTGGCTAACTATGCTCGCAACACTGACCAAAACAGTGAAGCAGTTACACAATTGCAAGAAGTGTTAACATTAATTCACACAACAGTTTCAGTCTGCAGTTGTTGTTTTTTGCCCCATTTCTCAAGGTTTAAGTTAATCCTTCTCAATAATCTTTGCCCGGCAGCAATCTACTAACATGAGTTTGTCTTGTAAGTATGCATGTTACATTCACATCCATTAAATCTGCTTTAAATGAAATTATGAAGTAATGATATGAAATACAGCTCAGATTTGGCACAGATTTGGAGTAATGTGCTCATTTTACAATTAAGTAAAAGAATCTTTATAAAACTGACACTTCAGGCTCTGGTTGGATGATTTGCATTTGCATTGATTCAAAGCCTTTGTAAAATGCTGGAAAAAGCATGCCAAGTTGCATACTTTGCCCAGCAACCATACATAGCCTAATATTGGTACTAAATTAAATTAAATACAACTGTTTATTACAATAGTTAGTTATAATAAATGTAGCTCTGTATTGAACGTTAGTGTTTTTTTTTCATTATATTTACGTTGTTGTTGTTTTATAAAAGCAATGACCTGCAAGAGTCTCTGCGCTGCAGTGATTTTACCATTCGTATGAGTGTTGTAGGTACTCCACTTTACATGGTGCATTAAATTACTATTAAATATGGCCTCTCATTGCTTATTTTTTTCTTAAAGTAGTTTCTCATGGAGTCACGCAGGTGTTAATGCATCTGAACATAGCTGATGGTTGCTTGTGCTCTCATGAAGACCGCACATTCGCTTGGAGGTTGTATTTTAACCTTTTCTCACCTTTCATCTTCCTGTGCTGTTTCCTTAGAGACTCCACGGCACATGCGGTCTTCTGCACGTGTAGTTGTTTCAGTCACCTCATTTGACAATAGAGATATGGATTTACTACATGCCTTCCAGGCATTCTATTATTATTAGGTTACTGGGGTAGTATATTGACAACCATATCAGATCAATAGGTGGTGGGAGTTTTGTCTTCACAATCCTAAAGCAATAGTGATTTACTGACAGGATTTATCATGAACTGCTTTATTTGCATCACATATGATTTGAATAAATACATTTAGAATGAAAAACTATCACTGAGTACAGATATTTTTTATTGTTTGTTGTGTTTTTGTTTGTCTAATCAATATGCACGTAGTGCATTGAATGGATTGTTTTTGTACTTTTTTTGACCGTATTATTTAGCTGACATTTATAATCATGGTCCTGTCCCTGCAAATTTCCCAAATCCCTGCCAGGCTAAGAGTCAAGTCCTCACTCAGATTAAACAGTGCTGTGTTTTCAACTTGCCTCTCATGAACATATTAAACCAAAGAAGCACAGGAAACCTTTAAAAAAAATTGTAAGGTGACAAGACAGGAGGGATGATAGATGATGGTTGCATGTCCGAAACACTTGCAGTTCTTTACAACTAAAATGTTAAATTAAAATAACTCTTGGCATGATGCATCATGGGATGCTTTTTAACAGTATTAAAGCAGTTTGCATGTCTGCTGTTTTTCGTTCACTATCTAGTCTAATATGTCCAATACAAATCATTAAAATGTTAGTTTTATAAAGAACCTGTAGCTTGAACAATAGATAATAGCAATGCCAAGGTCAAGAATTTGATTCCCAGGGATCCATGGGCTGATAAAATATATACCTTGAATGCAATGAAAGTCTCTTTGGGAAAAAAAATGCATGTCTTCAAATGCATAAATGCAATGTAAATGAAAAGAAATTCATTTGTAGGCACAATTTTGATTGTTTCAAAGCAAATTTTAGTCATTTAAAGACGATTTCCATCAAGTTTGTGACTCGTTTATATTGAGAGAAAATAAAACTAAACTAAAGAAAGTCTTACCTTCTACACATTCACACTTAGTTTCGGAATTGAAATGTATGAATGCACAGTCTATTGAGATTCAGAATGAAAAGCTCTCCTCTGCTGCGCTGCTTTATGGTGGAATTGAAATTCTGCTGCGGTCTGACTGTAAAGCTGCAAAAGCTGCGACCTGCAGCTGCCATCTTAGCTTTATGCTGTATAGGTGACCTTTTTTAATGCTCTTGTACAGAACTTCAAAGATGTTATTCCTAAATGCAGGTTATATTACTAAAAACGAAACCAATCTGATTTTATTCCTTCAAAGAGTTTGTGGAACAGATACTAGGGAAATGTATTTAGCTAAATTTGTTACTCGGGGATAGCTCCACAGAATGCTGCCTGTGAAAGAGTTAAAATGCTCAAACATTTATGAGGTTTAGGATGCATGAAGTGAGAATGAAAGTAGATGACAACACCTCTGTTTGGTTGTAGTGGCATAAACAAAAATAACTTTCTAAAGGAAGCAGGGTTGGTTTTCAACAGGTGTTCTGAAGCGCGATTCACAGACCTAAATGGCATGCTATCATCCCGATCTGTCTATTGTAAGTGTATTTGTGTTGCATGCATTTGTGTTACCATGTCAATCTGTACACGTCTGTGTGTGTGCATGAGTGTAAATGTGAGAAAGCAAGCCCACATCGCACAAGCTTGGCATTGCAAGACCACTTCCTCTCCAGAGAGTGTGATGCCTCTCTAATAACATCGCTTTTCATATGTAGACTTATAACAGGAATCACTTCTACGGTTTTTGTTGAGTATTAAATCAACAGAAATTCCACATTCAATACCAACAACTTGCATTGCATCACTAAACAATTTAAAACATGACATACACTGTGAAGGTTGGCCTGAAATGATCAATGATATTGATAAAAGCAAAAATAAAAGATGTGCATACAGTATGTCCAAATGTTGCCATCTGACATCTTTTAAAGTTGCGAAACTTCAGGACAAGCTGCTTGTCTGGCATTTTCTTGGAGAGGATGTCCTGAATTGTTCGTTTTCATAAATACATAATACCTATTTGTCTCAAAAGACCAGATAAACATGCTGAAAAACACAATGACTACAGTTAAGATAAAGGTCTATACTGTAGGTAGACCAAAAACTGAAACCGGCCGACACACATTTCTAATTTGCAAACGAACAACCTGCTTTTGTCTTTCCAGGTCATTGACACCCTATCAAAACTCTCTCATACATCTTTTGCACAACAGAAAGCCATCAGGTGAGTTTGCATTTACAATGCAAGAAAAAAAATCAGTTGTACACATTAAAAATCGTCTTATTCTCTGGTTCTGTACTGATTTCACAGGTCATTTCCCACGGAGGAAAGCACAGAAAATGAAGACATATATATCCATTTGGCAGATCTTATTGAGTAAGTATGAAGCTCTCTTAACCTAATTGGGCAGTTGTTTAATTGGAAGCAATGAGAGACTAGTTTTCAAATGAAACTCATTAACACTTGCGGTTTCAGTCACCCACGTTATATGTTCATGTTTTGTTTCGGAAGAACAATTCATATTTTCAGTATTGTATGAGATCCATTACTTGCTTAGGCGTTGTGTGGGAGGAATGCGAATGGCTAATTAATAGTAGGCTAAGTGTGAAAACAGGAAGTTACACAGGATTTTCTGTAGAAATAGAGCCATGTGTACAGCAGCGCACTGATCTATTGCAATTTTAAAAATCTGACCGCTTTGACCAGAACTGTTGTGTAATCATACTGTTCATATTTTTATAGTAATTGTGAAGTCCTAATCTGAATGTGTTTTGTGTGAACAGTGAGGAGCTGGAGGAATATATTTATGACCCCGTGTACAGAGACGTAGAGGGAGGAGAGGTGTATGAGGATCTGATGAGGACAGAGGCTGCTGCGTCTCAAGCGGTACTCAAATGACTCAATACCACACACACACACAAACTCTCCTAATGCATCAACGTGTTGATTTCCTTTGCAAAACACCTACTCCTACTCCAACCAGAAATATGGTCGCTTTTTCGTAAGTATCTTTATGAGTAAATTCACTGTAATCACGAAAAGCACCAGAAAAAAAACCAACCAAAACAAAACTTGTCACTTTAAAACTTTATTAGGTTGTGTTTTTAAAGCAATTTTTTTGGCTGGCTGGCTGGCTGTAGACTGAATAAGTGAGTTGTGTTGACAGAAACAGGCCGAGGTGGACATCAGAAGCTGCTGTCTTTTAGAGATCAAACAGACAGAAGCCAAATACACTGAGACCCTGGAGACAATTGAGAAGGTGAGATTCACATTCTCAGGATGGAGTATTTGATCATACCGTGCTTCACATCTAGTGAAGGACAGCTGCTCCACTGTTGCCACGCAATGTAGGATATAACTTTCCTACATTGAGCTAAAATGCATTTTATTATCTGTCTTAACAGTACTTTATGATTCCACTGATAAAATTCATCTCGGCAACAGAAATTGACAAGATTTTCATCAATATGCCAGTGAGTGACATTGACCACAATGTTTCTAAATAATAAAAAAAAAGTCTAACATTTCCACCAAATGTAAAATATTTTATATTATATTACATATTTATATATATTTGTGCTTCTCAGGACCTGGTTAAAATTCACAAAAGCCTGTTGGCTGAGATTCAAGACTCTGTTCAGAATAAAAATGCAGAAAACCTCCACCAAATCTTCATTATTTACAAAGACAGGTACTGTACAAAACCAGCACATTCAGGCACATAACTATCTTCATTTTATGCAATATAACAAAGAGTGAAAAATTTAAGGGGGTCTGAATACTTTCCGTACCCACTGTATATGTTTGCATACAATTACATTTATATTTCTTACCACAGTGGCGTCATTTTAAGTGTAAACCTCACAAAATTTAGTTTGGACAAAATGGTAATCAAACTATCCATTATTTTACTGATTGATTTATTTATTTTGTTACATTTTATGTGAATTTTATGTTTTTAAAAACAGCAATTATATTGAAGAAAAACAAATTAAACATGCAAGGGGTGACAGATTTTTGTTTATAATCAAATTTTGTGGAAATCTGCAGAGCTTTCATTGAATTTCTGCAGGACTAGTTAATATTTAATATTTCTAGAATCATATTACTAAGCACTGCTGATGTGTGTGTTTTTTGCTAACATTTGCCCTGTCTGCTTTAGGCTTCTACTTTATGGTAAATACTGCGGTCATGTAGAGTCAGCCATTTCTCTCTTAGACTTCATCTGTAAGGAAAAAGAAGACGTTCGACTGAAACTAGAGGTTCAAAACACTGTTTAATTTTCTGTCATATTTATAATATTTCATTTATTTCATAATCATAATATTTATAATGTGCTTTTCCCATGCTCAAAGAGCTAAAAGATCATTTCCTTTTGAGGTTTTGTAGAGCCTTCTGTTTTCCAGATTCAGTTTATTTTGTGTTGCAGGAATGTTCGAAGAGAGCCAACAATGGGAAATTCACTTTGAGAGACTTACTTGTGGTTCCCATGCAGCGAGTGCTGAAATACCCACTACTGCTTCAGGTACAGTAACATACACACTATTAACATTGTATATAGTCCTCTTTTAACACTTTGAACAAAGCATATCACATTTTTGCTGAGCTTGAAATGACCCTGGTTGAATGTCTTACTGATATGTACCACATGGGGGAGCCATATGGCTAGTTTTCTCTTATTTTCTGACAATGACACTACATGAGCTTAATTTGTTATTACTGCTGTAGGAAAGGTTTACTCTTCTGTTTTGTTCAGAGAACAAAATTCAGATGAAGTACAGCTTGTTCAAATCAATACTAAAGGTCATTATTATATTAAAGTCAAAATGAAACCGTAGTCACAACCCGTTTTACATCCATAATTTGATGCATTTCTGAGCATTACAGGATATCCAAATAAATGTAGGGTGGTACTTGATTTTATCCATTGGGAATTGAGTTTAAGAAAGTGATCTATATATTACAGATGTAGGAGGAGAGTTAAGTAACTTACTTTATAAGGTGTAAATGTTGTTAAATAGTAAAATTATGAAATCTGGCAGGATAGGGTAGATTCTGAAGCCATCTGGTCAAATTTGAGGTCAGTCTCTCAAACCCTTTAGCAGCACTAGTAGCGTACATTTTAACCGTATTGAACAGAATGGTCTAGAATAAAATACTTTTTCCTCACATTCCTTGGGACTTACCAAGATCAATGTACCTGGTGGATTTGAGATTCCATCCAACTAGATTTAGAACAGGAAGTGAGCCTGTGTCTTGGCATATTGATGTATTTTAAAGGGATAGTTCACCCAAAATTTTAATAATTTACACGCCATTATATCATTCCAAACCTGTATGGCTTGATTTTTTTTTCTTCTGTGGAATACAAAAGACATTTAAAAAAAAAAGTTTTTCCCCCTCTCCATACAGTGAAATTCCTCACCCAAGGCCCAATGATGTTTGGTCTTACAAAATAATTTAATTTGTAAATATATCTGCTCATAACCTTTTAACTACTTTCCTACAGTGACCACCAGAGGTGCTATGACCAAACAAATCTACTCAACCTCACTAACAGTTTCAAGAAAGAAACCATTTCAAAGAATTGTGTCACACAAACAAACTAGACTGATTCACTTGATTGCAAACCATGTAAAAAGATCCCCAATAGTTACAAGCTTACATAGCAAGTCTTTCTAGATGATTTTACTGTTAAAGTCACTTTATATATACCTATATGTAATATAATCATCACAGTTACTGCACTAGTCCATGCTAAAGTTTTGTAGGCGCGAGGTCCTTCACCACAGGACAGAGAAGACATGAGGACAGAAGTGAGTGCACAAGTGTTAGAGATGGCCTGATACACACACACACACACACACACACACACACACACAAACAAACAAAAGCAGGGACGGGTGGCAGTGTGTCTGACACTCTGCCCCATGCAGCCCTGTTCTCAAACACATTGTGCCCACTTCCTCAGGAATGACTCAAACATACTTATTAATATATTTTTGTAGCATTCCCAGTCAACAATTTGATCTCACAATGATGTCACCATGAGCTCACACGATTCTCACCGTGAGGATCACAGTATGAGGATCGTGTGAACTCACAATGATTTCACCTATTACTCACACCGTGAGGATCACAGTATGAGGATCATGTGAACTCACAATGATTTCACCTATTACTCACACCGTGAGGATCACAGTATGAGCATCATGTGAACTCACAATGATTTCCCCTATTACTCACACCGTGAGGATCACAGTATGAGGATCATGTGAACTCACAATGATTTCACCTATTACTCACACCGTGAGGATCACAGTATGAGGATCGTGTGAACTCACAATGATTTCATATAGTACTCACACTGTGAGGATCACAGTATGAGGATAGTTTGAGTTCACAATGAGCTCACCTATTACTCACACTGTGAGAATCGCAGTGTGAGGATCGTTTGAGTTCATAATGAGCTCATGTATTACTCACACCGTGAGGATCACAGTATGAGGATAGTTTGAGTTCACAATGAGCTCACCTATTACTCACACTGTGAGAATCGCAGTGTGAGGATCGTTTGAGTTCATAATGAGCTCATGTATTACTCACACCGTGAGGATCACAGTATGAGGACTGTGTGAACTCACAATGATTTCATATAGTACTCACACTGTGAGGATCACAGTATGAGGATAGTTTGAGTTCATAATGAGCTCACCTATTACTCACACTGTGAGAATCGCAGTGTGAGGATCGTTTGAGTTCATAATGAGCTCACCTATTACTCACACTGTGAGGATCACAGTATGAGGATAGTTTGAGTTCACAATGAGCTCATGTATTACTCACACCGTGAGGATCACAGTATGAGGATCGTGTGAACTCGCAATGATTTCACCTATTACTCACACCGTGAGGATCACAGTATGAGGATCGTGTGAACTCACAATGATTTCACCTATTATTCACACCGTGAGGATCACAGTATGAGGATCATGTGAACTCACAATGATTTCACCTATTACTCACACCGTGAGGATCATAGTATGAGGATCGTGTGAACTCACAATGATTTCACCTATTACTCACACCGTGAGGATCATAGTATGAGGATCGTGTGAACTCACAATGATTTCACCTATTACTCACACCGTGAGGATCACAGTATGAGGATCGTGTGAACTCACAACGATTTCACTTATTACTCACACCGTGAGGATCACAGTATGAGGATCATGTGAACTCACAATGATTTCACCTATTATTCACACCGTGAGGATCACAGTATGAGGATCATGTGAACTCACAATGATTTCACCTATTATTCACACCGTGAGGATCACAGTATGAGGATCGTGTGAACTCACAATGATTTCATATAGTACTCACACCGTGAGGATCACAGTATGAGGATCATGTGAACTCACAATGATTTCACCTATTACTCACACCGTGAGGATCACAGTATGAGGATCGTGTGATGTCACTGTGATCATCGCATGATCTCACGTGTTGACTGGGTTGTAGCGTATCTGATTTATTTATTTATTGCATATTTGCATGTTTGCAATTGTTTATAGCCTAAAGACCCCAAAACACACGGAATCTAATTTTTACGAACCCAGTTTTCATTTTAATTGTAAAGTTTTAGTAAGATTTTAAAGATTTTTTTACGACTTTTAATAATATATAAATAATGATGAATGCATGAAAAGGGCAGGATTTACTGGTAGGTATACAGGGACGAATACTAAAAACTCATTCATCCGTGAGGTAGGTAATTGGGTCTCCATAAGCTCCTGCTCCATGTTATACCTCCAATAGGTTTAAATATATAAGCATACATGAGTCTAGGCGCACGTCCTCACACACACATTTCCAGGCACACATGCATGAGCTTCCATCAGAGTCACAGCATTGGTCTGGGTCAGAATGTAAATCTGGAAAGAGTGCTGAAGTTTCTAATCACTTTGTTTACTCGCTGCGATTGGGCTATTTGTCTCTCTCCAGCAGCATTCGATTGCACTCTGAAAACAAATGCATGTTTCTGATGAGCTGCACAGATTTCACACTTGGAACAACCCCATTTCTCTTCCAGTGCTTTTGTGCACAAATCCAAAGGCCAGATTTGTTTATCAAGTTAATTAGTTATGTTATAGCGTGGATCTCAAAAGGTTCTGTTGACGTTCTTCTCCATATCGTGGAATAAATCTTGTTCAAATCAAAATGTCCGGTATTCCCTCAAAACTGCCATGGCATGCTCATTGGAAACTTGGCACCATGGTCACTCTGTTCTGTCACTGGGATTTTCAGAACAAGTTTTCAGTGAAGCAGTCTAGTCCAGACTCTTCAGAGTTTTGATGATGATGTTGTGTCTTCATTTCATGACAGAACAGGGACTGAACATAAGTCTGACTCGGATTCAAAGATATATATGTGTGACCAAGATAAAGAAAAAGATACATCTTTCAAAAAATCTAGTTTAAAGGGGTCATATGATGCGATTTAAATTTTTCCTTTGTTTCGTTGTGAAAGCGAAACTACTTTGTTTGGCCTTCCAAAAGAGGACACAACTAGAAATCAGTAGTTAAGTTGTATTTACAACACTGTTCCAGAACAGTTCAACCCAAATATTCAGAGGACTGTTTCCTGGGAGAGTATAGCCTACAATGCCGGTGTCTGTTTCTCTAAAGTGGGGCAATTCCAACTTTGCAAGGACAGTCTTGCGATTCATGACTCGCAGCCTGTAAGTACATTTTTCTGTTTAAAGAATTTGTCACTGATGATTCAAACGCGAGTTTTGAGCAGTGTAGAGTAGCGCTTGTTGTTTGTCGTTTCTCCGATCACAAATGCAGACATGGTTTTATGTTTACGCGGCGC